ACCATGGCATCAACAACAGACTGCACGTCAGTTGAGATCGCAAACAGTATATCATACTTGCGCAGTATGTAGTTTCGTGGTGCAAGCAAGACCTGGTAGTGCCCCATGTCGTTGTCAATCGATGGATGGTGTGGAGTATGGACCTGTGGCGAGCGAGTAGGTGAGAATGCGCCAACTCCGAATACCAACAGCCCATGACAGCGGTAAAAGTAGCGTGCTACCTTGAAAAAACGACTTCCCCAGCAGCGACCCAGGAGCCTTAGCCTGGTAGATCTCGAGCCCAAATCCGTGGATGTAGTTCTTGACCCACCCCTCATCGGATGATTCTGCAATTGCCTCTGCTAGCACGCCAGAAAAGTCCCATTCGGGCTCGTTGCCCATCGACTTGGAGAGCATGAATACCAGGGTTGCAAATCCCGGCGTTGCACTGTTCTGTGCCATTATGCCCATACGCATCTCGTCGACAGAGACAACACGCGTTGTCTGCAGGTACATCATGTGCGCAATACTGCCAGGCAGTATTGTCTGCGCATACACGCTAAACTTGGGCTGCGCATGGGCTAGCATCTCATCGACGGGCTTGTAGACCACTCGACTTCTGAATGCGCTGAGCGCCAATGCGATCAGAACCAGCTCGGCATCCTCCTCGACACCGGTGCCGTGGCAATGTTTTTCAGCCAGGATATACACGCAGGTAGCCAAGTCAATGCGTGCACGCTGCAGTGCCTTGAGGCCGGTGGCTCTGCCTTTGACATAGAAAACGCGGTTTGCAAATGCCGGATCGCACAGCAGCGCTTTCATTTCCATGTCCGGCTCGTCAGGATGCAGAATAACGATTGTTGTGCGGAAGATGTTAGGACCATGGTCAGCATTGAAAAACTCGTGCAGAAACAGCTGCACCGAGTCCACGCCAATATGTCCACACACCAGCGCGTGTCGTGTAGCCTTGGGCAGAGATACGGTCTTTGCATATGCTGACGTCTTTATCGTCAAGTCGATCAGCTTTGAGATCCGGGCGGTACTGTGAAGGCGACCAGTGCGACGATCACAATCGAAATTATTTCAGAGAACGTGCTCTGCGGGATGTTCGTGCTTGGGCTTGTGGCACTCACTAATGGAAGCTTGTTTTATACTCTTGTATGAAGAGGATGGTAGGTTTTTGATATGCATGTAAAGGGGAGAAAGGGAGAGAGGTGAAATGGAGAGTATGGGCAACATGAATAGTAGTACGCCAACTCAAGACAGTGGATGCAGGTTTGAATCTCAGCAGTGCTGTACTTACTTGATACAAAGTATATCGCGTCTAGATATGTGAATCCGGTAAAGTCGATGTTGTTTGTTGGCTGTACCAGTAGATGCCAGAATGCACTAGGCTTGCAAACCCCATGATGACCACGGCAATATCAGATGCAAGTGACGACGCCTCCTGCTTGATCAGTGTCAGGCGGAATCTACCTTCTGACGCTGCCGCGGACGCCAAAATCCGATTTACCGCGTATAGCATCCTCAGAAACCGGGCTGGGTAGAAAATGGCCAGCACACCCGCACTCAGGTAGCTGCTGCGGATTTTTGCATTGTGCTCGCCAAGCACGTAAGCAACCATCGGTGCTATGACTGCCATGAAAAGAAACGCCATGCTCTAGAGGTCGCGGGTTTGCATTGATGATTACGAACCGTGTAATATACTGGCTCAAAAGTGCCACAGCCAATACAAATTCTATCTGCCGGTTTGCTGTGGGGATTGGAAGCGGCTCGTGGGTCTTTGGATCAACCACTGTCGTGTTCTAAGGAATGCTTGTTTGCATCTAGAGTTAGTTTGTTGTTACAATGCTAATTCGCACAACCACCCTCTGCAAAGGTTGAACTTACAATAATATAGATCACACATAGGCCCAAGTTCAGCACAAAGTCCACTACCTCCCAGATACGACCCCATATAGTGGTGTCGAGGGTAAATAGCACGCGCTGTCGCCATCCATTTACGACATTGTCAAGCGCAACAAACGTCGCCTGCTCTGGCATTCTAAAAATGTGGGGTATGCTGGTGTGAAAAAAAAAAAAAAGGAAAAAAATATGAAGCTGGGAGTACACTGGAGAAAAACTTGGAACGGAGTAAAGCGCAGCAGCTGCACAAGTGCTTGGTGGAAAGTTGTGCTCTTTTATTGTCATGGGAGGAGTATGTTGACGATCCAGTATGACACATCAGGTGTCGTGCGAGTCGGGCAGCATATATGTGGCTTTGAAGCAGTTTTCATCTGTTGAGTCGGGAAGGAGCATGACAGCAAACACATGTAGTGACCTCCGATCATGCGACCTGTGACATTGTAAAATTGCAAATATCATCTCCCCGTTTATTGTCGGCATGACCACGCTAGGTCTACGGCACTTGCCGAAATTTGGGGAGGGTACGTGATGCTATGGAGTGACCTGCTATTTACGCAATTAATAGGCATTAAATACACGGCGCTCAGCGCCTTGGCCTATTAGAGTCGCTTGGCATTTGCATTTCGTCAAATGAATAATCAGGCTATGTTGCTACTATGTCATACAAGCACTACCTGATGCAGCACGCAACCCAAGGTCTAATACTCAGAGACACATAGGGGTACTATTGATGGTTGATCCATCTTGTTGGTTGATGCCTAGGATCGGCGGCCAGTCATTCCAAAGTATAGATGAAGTAACCTGTGTATATTCTGTCCTTTGCTGCAGGCAAGGGTCGGTTAGCAAACATCACTACTGCGAGCCAAAAACTGGAGCTCTGTAGTGTGGGGGGATATGGCCAACAAGGGAAACATTCTCCAATCGCCCTCCACCGACCGCTTCCCCGCACTCCCTTAGCTATTGCAATCAATCGGATGTCTCACATCCTTCCTCGCATTCCTTCCTCCTTCCCTGCGATACGCACAGCTACCTACTGTTTGCTCAAATATTCTCTGTCGTATTTGTGCCTCTCTTGTAAACATATCAACTAGATTTTCCATGGACATACAAATGTACAGTGCAGGATGCACTACTGACCGAAACCACACCTGGGAAAACTCGCGCAAGAGTGGAGGTGTAATGTGCCTAGAGACTACAGTCAGCGAGATCCGCAGCTCCTCTGGGTGGATCCAGCGGCTAGTCCGCGAGCGTAGGCGCAGTGAGATGCAACAAAGTGCTTCCCAGTCCCTTTCGTTTGCCACTGCTAAAGATAGCTTAAGGGATAGTGCGTCAAATCTGAGCTCGACGCCGTCGCTAGTAGGCAGCCAGCCATCAACCCCAGCCGGGAGACAGAGAATATGCTACTGATTCTACCTTCAACTGCAGTCCGACATACCTGCCCGGGAGGTAACAGAAGCCGATCCGTTCAAGTCTCTATCGGGCTTAGAGATAGAGAAGCCACCTGGACAGCAATCACTCGAATGGCAGATGCCAGCTACGCAGCATCCATCCGGCGAGCCACAAAGTCTGGTATTGCGACTGGCAAAGCTCTTTCTGTTGGCAATTGCGCAGGCAGGCCTCGCCCTGTTCCTCATGGCTATGTGCCGAATCGTTAGCAAGGCGGGGAATGCGGGGCTCGCCTACCATCAGATCCTGCAGACTACCGTACTGGCCAGCTCGACCCAGGCCGTCATTATTCTGCAGCACTCACGGTGGCCAGCGCCACCAGACTCGAAGCGCACAGCACGCACCGCCCACATAATCCTACAAGGAGTAGCTGGCACTGCGTGTCTAGCAGCCCTTTGTCCGACGGCGCCAATGCGGGCTGGGGACAGAGGGTGCTGATCAGTTTTGGAAGGCACCGCATGTACGAGCAAACATAGTCCATGGCTATGTTTATCCTGCAGGCTGTGTTTGGCATCTCCATGGTGTTTCAACAAGGCTGTTTGGTGGCAGCGCAAGGCAAAGCATTCATACAAGTATCATAGAATCTGCGGCTACGCCACGTTGACCGCGATGTGGACGACAGGCGCGCTTGGTGTTCACGCTGTGCTGCAGCAGGAAGGTGCGCAGGCGCTGAACAGCCGGTATGAGTGGCATGCTGTTCCGCGAGGAACGTGGGTGGCGGCTGGTGCCATGCTTGCCCTGGGAGTTGTTTTTGGTATTGACGTACGAAAGATCGGGCTGCATCGGTCCACACAAGTCAAGAAGGGCACGTTTGCGCGCGCCTGGCCATAAGGATACGCAGGACTAGGGGAAGGAGGTTGGTGGGTCAAGCCTGCGCTTCTGGTGTCCAGGGCATTCGTTGCCTGTCGCTAGCTAGCCTCTTTTACTTCTCTGTTTTATCAGTCAGCATAAACACCCAGCATTATACTATGGCCACCCCGCAGCACAAATACTCGCTCTGGCTCAGCCCGCCCAAACATTCTCCCGCACATGCCAGCACCAGTCGCTAATCGCCCAATTCTCCACTGCACCAGGCTCACCCGTTTTCTCGCCACACCTGACCTATTCTCGCCTGTGCGCACAGACAGCGATGCTGCGGCAATTGAGCAAGTGCAGCTTTATGTGGCAAAGCTACGAGAAAGGCAACTGAGCCAGATTCCGATTGAGATCCGTAGGGTCGCCAGCGGAAGCAAGTTCTACCAGTGCATCATGCTTGAGGTCGGCGTGTGCGTGCATGAGGACGCTGTGCGGTCAGCGAATACAATTGCGCGTGAGCACTGGGATGCTACTGACCAGCCTAACTACTACCCTCATGTCAGCTTGGTGTACAGGGAGTGCACAGCCGAGCAGCGTGAGCAACTGAAGGAGGCTGTTGAGATGGCTGTGCTGCCGACATCGGATCGCTGGCATATGTGGCTGACGAGGTGCGTATCATCGAGACCGTCGGACCGTGCAACGAATGGCGCGATATTGGCAGCATTTCACTTGCTACAGGCCAGCATTCGTAGCCTGATCATCCAGCTGCACTTTTTTCGATGCAGATTTTTGGTGCCAAATATTATTTCATAGCAGTATATAAAACAAGCATGCGGCTACTGGGTCTTTGGTCCTCTACATAGCATACAGCGCAAGCAATCCAGTTAGTGTCAACAGTTGCACGGTACATAGAACTATATTCCAGTACGACGATACTTACTCGCCTCCAGGAACAAGCATGCAGATGTTGTTGCCGTTGAGCAGGATCTGATCGAGATGGTTGACCTCCTTCACGTCGCCAACCTGTTCGTATTCTGTGACGTTCTCCAGCACCATGTTAACGTAGTCGTCAAACCCATTAGTGTGCCGACGAATTCCTTCTCGACTTTCATCATGACCCAGATCCG